CCTGCCACCTCGGCTGCAGAACAGAGGAGACTTTTTGTTTGCGCTGGTGGTGAAAACATCTATCTGGGGGAACCCCCACTTGCGGAAGAGTGGAAGAAGGTAAGTCAGATTCATTTCCCACTCATGCAAACTGAGTCCTGCCCGACTAAGGTGGTCTGCCTGTACATTCATGTGCCCTGGGATGTACGTGGTGACTAGGAAAACGTTGTGGGCGATGCAGAAGTCCCATAACCGAAGGGCGAGCTTGCAGAGGTGTTGAGAGACAGTGCCCTCTTGCTTGTTTACATAGCTGAGGGCAGAAGTATTGTCTGTGAGGACCGTGACACACTTCCCCTTGATCAGGTGTAGGAAACTGGTCATAGCGAACCGTATCGCAAGCAGTTCCAGAAAATTGATGTGCCGGTTCCGTTTCTCTGTGTTCCATTTGCCTCCAACACAAAGTCCCATCATGTGAGCGCCCCAACCTGAGAGAGAGGCATCTGTTGTCAGGGTAATCTGGGATGATGGAGGATGGAAGGGTGCTCCCTGGAAAAGGTTGGAAGGGGCAGTCCACCAAAGTAAAGAGTCCCGTACTTTGACAGGCGGGGATAGGTGGGTCAAGTGTGTGTCTAGCTATGGACAGAAATTGCGGATAAACCAAAGTTGTAGGAGGCGCATTCTCAACTTGGTGAAGACAAGGACGGATGTAGTAGCGGCCATCAGACCGAGGAGCCTCTGTATTTGGAAAGCCGTTACCAAGGGTCAAGTATGCATCACAGTGGCAAGGTTCACGATGTCCGCAGCCCTGTTTTGTGGTAGGTAGGCTCTGCAACTTGTGGAGTCCAGTAGTGCACCGATGTAGTGTATTTTCTGGACCGGTTGAAGTTGAGACTTCTCCAGATTTACTTGTAGACCCAGGTTTTCCAGGAGGGTTAGCGTCTCGTTGATGTTTGAGATTAGGGTGTCCCTGGAAGTCGCAACCAAGAGCCAATCATCAATGTATGGGTAGATGGAGATACCTCTGAGACGAACAAAGGCCGCAACTACCACCATCATCTTTGTGAACACTCTTGGTGCACTTGAGAGACCGAATGGCAGAGCTGCATATTGGTAGTGATGTTGGCCAACTGCGAAGTGTAGGTATTGGCAGTGGGACGGGTGGATGGTGAGGTGGAAGTACACGTCCTGGAGGTTGAGAGTGGCCATCCAGACATTCCTCTGGAGAAGTGGCAGAATCTGCTGCAAGGACATCATGTGGAAGCGGTGGTAGCTCACAAAGCAGTTTAGCGCTTGTAGATCTAAGATTGGTGGAACGGTGAAATAGTGGGGATAGAATCCCCTGCCCTATAGATGAAGTAGCACCTGTTCGATGGCTCCCTTGCGCAGAAGGATGGAGAACGGGGTGTGGAGATGGAGAAGGGGGTGTGGAGATGAAGACTGAAGTAGTGGGGTTCTGGACAAACTGTATGCGGTAACCCTGGGTCAAGATGGACAGCACCCAGTCATCTGTGGTGATGAGGTGCCAAGTTTGGAGGAAGGGGGTTAGACGGGTAGGATGTTACTGGAAGACATGGAAGTAAAAAACCCTGTTTGGCGGACCTTGGCTGTTTGTTGCGGGAGGGTTGTTGTCCTGATCCAAATCTAGGCTTCTGAAATGTGAGCTTCTGGCCCCCAGAGGATGTACGTGGCCTTCACTGCCGCTCAGGGGACTGACGATTAGGTGTACGTTTTTGCCAAGGTCTAGACTAAGGACGAGGCTGGTATTGTTGTCTCGTGGAGGAAGAAATGCCCAAAGCACAAGAGGCTTTTATGCTCTTGTCCATATCTTGTAATATGGTGTCTGCGGTACTATTAAAAAGACCAAGGCCATCGAAGGGGAGGTCCTCCACGTATGTCCTGGTATCTGGCTGCAAATTGGTGTTGCGTAGCCAGGAATGTCTTTGTAGAGTGATGGCTGAAGCCATTGTCCTCGAGCAGGTGTCTAGGGCATGTTTAGATGTATTAATTTGTTGTTTTGCCAGCATCATGCCCTTCTTTTGGATGATGTGGGCTGCCTGACGCTTATCTTCTGGAAGGTTTGCCAAGAGCTCGGAGAGCCTTTCCCATATCATACACGCTAAGTAGTTCGTGGTCTTCACCCCGAGTGCTCCTGTAGAGTAGAAACGTCTATCAAATGCATCTAGCTTTCTGCTCTCCCTTTCTGAAGAGGCAGAATGAGTTCTCTTCAACTTTGATGAGGAAGTAACTACCATTGAATTTGGTTGAGGATGGGCGAACAAGAATTCTGCTCCTGTTTCTTGGACTCTATACATATGGTCCATGCGGTGTGTGGACACTGGAGCCAATGATGGTTTATCCCATGGTGCTTTAGCTGCCTGTAAGAGGACTGTGGACACAGGTAGTGCTATAGCTGTCGATGTATCTAGTTGTACCACATCGAAAACAGCATCTGTAACCAGTGGTTGGGTTGTACAATGGAACGGCCAAGGGAGTGGGCCATTCTTTTAACTAGGTCTCCGTAAGAAGTTAAGTTTTCCGATGGAGATATTGGTTGGTCATCGGCCACTGCTTGTCTAGGGGAAGGCTGGTCAGGCGAGCTGTGTACATTTGATACCCCCATATCCAAATCCTCATCTGTGGAGTCAGAGGAATCAGGATCTGGTAATTGTGCCGGAGTAGTTTTAATTTGGCTGGTTGGATCTGTTGACAGTGGAATAGGGGGACTGGGAGAACAATATTGATCACGTCGATGTCGAGGAGGGTCATCTGATGATCAGGAGGATGGGAAAGAGATGCTGAGGGTGTTGGCCTCGATCTGCAGGGTGACCGTGATCTATGCGCAGAGTAATGATCCCAATCCAAGTAACCCGTTGGAGTCAACCACGGCATGGATGCGGGTGGATAAGCCCCACAGAGATAACGTAGTTGGCGGTGATCCCAGGAAAGAGCAGGAGGTGGTGGGGGCAGGAAGACTCATGGGGATCTACTCCTGGAGCAGGAGCGTCTGGGAGACAGTGTAGCATCTCATCTCCATGAGCGGCCCCTATCAGCCCGATCATCGATATCGAAAGGCCGATCTTCAGCAAACAGACGGGGAGGATGACGTTGAGTGTTTGGAGGGATCTGTTGATGCCAACCTGCATCGATATCGGTACGGAACTCCGAGATTGTTGATGACTGAGCAGAGGGAAAATGATCCATGCCCAGGGGACGACTGAGGATCTCCACATTATCGATGTCGGAGAAAGGATGCATGTCTGCCAGCGTGTCATGGTCTAGCTGGTGTATTGGAGAGTCCATCAGCTGGATGGTTGGTATCGCTGGAGCGACTGGGGCCTCCGATGCCAATACTGTCGTCGGAGCGGGGGCACCTTAGGGGCATTACCGGTGCAGGACCCGCAACTTTTCCAGACTTCAACACCTTTAGGGCCTTTGAGGAACCCTTTTTGGCAGATTTGTGCTCTTTACCTGATTTCTCCTTTTTCTTTTTCACGGGAGTGGACGCTGAAGACTGTGCCATCGTTGCCGGATGCTTTGACGTTGACTGGACGATGTCGGACAAGGACTTTGATGCCGGAGCCGTCGATGGTATCACCGGTACTTCTGGATCCATGACGGAAGCGGGATTTAGCGCCGATTCTAGTAACGCCGCCCGGAAACGCGCTGCTCGATTCTTCCTAGTTTGATTGGAAAACTTGGCACAGTGTCGACAGGACTCTGGTCGGTGCGTCTCACCAAGACAAAAAATGCAAAGGGTGTGGCCATCAGGCGGAGCGAGCTTACTGTGAAAAAGCCCCACCTCTTCTCAAAAAAATAATCAAGATGGAGAAGAAAAGAGGTGGGGCGGAAAGAAAGGAACTGGCGGGATGTCCGCGCCCATCCCTCTGGGCATGCGTGATGGGGGTTCCTGTTCATGCCTGAGGTCTGGGCTCGAAAATCCGTTAGAGCTTGCTACAATACCGATCGATCCAGCTCGAAAATCCATTAGAGCTTGCTACAATACCGATCGATCCAGCGCAGGCACACTGTATCCCATGGGTGTGAAGCACAGAGACCACGTCGAAGATCCAACAGATCACATTAAGTCTACTCACTGAAATCTATCCAGATGGATTTCAATGGACAACATCTCAGAGACATTGCTGGATCTATCATGGAGAAAGGCAACATGATGGTGCTATTATCCCTTGGAATACAGTTTTGTATTGAATACATACTGTCCCAAGTAGAGTCAATTTGTGCCAGCAATATATTCGAATTATTTGGATAATATGCATGGAGATGATGCTTGACATGCATTGAGGTATTTCAATTACAAATTTAGTTATATTAAGCTTTTGTGGACTATAAAGCCTAATAAAAGTAAGATGTAAACTTGGGTTAAATGTTATGTTTACTCATCATCTTCATATTCCACAGGGTACACTCTGATGGCAATCTTTACATGTTTTGTGTATTCATTATTTTGCCTACAAATACACTGATTCATTTGTATATACTTAGGCATTATGTTATTTCTACTTCCAAGAACAGAAAGTACTGTGGTTTCAAGCACATATTGACCACTGATTCAATATCTATCATGAACTATATTTGTCTTCTCTGACAAATGTTAATTTTACCAAAATATTACCTATATTTCCTTGTTAATAAGACGCATTTCCCATTTTTCTCTGTTGACTGAAGGCAATTCAAACTTAGAAAGTGAAACAATGTTACTCAAAATATTACTCCATTGCACCCAGTTTTTTTAAAAATCTGTCATGAAATAAGCAATGTATCTAATAAAAGTGTTGAGTCAAATTACAACAGCTCCTTGCTTTTTCCCACCTGGCATGACTATTTGGCACATCTCTATGGCTCAAGCAGCAGCGAAGTTCCTTATCTGTGTCACCCAAGGAGTTCACACTGAGCAAACAGCTAAATGTTCAGTAGTATAAATTCCAGTAGAAAAGGCTCTCACCCTCAGCAAGCACTCACTGACATCTCTTCCTGGTTCGCCACACGCACTGCAGCCTTCATCATGGGGTTCCCATCAGTAAATAAAATGTCAGTGCAACAATAAGCAGCAAGCAGAATGGGGAAGAAAAGGTCTGGTAGGCAGCAGATGGCATAAAAATATCTTCGTATTTGTAAATACTGACCACGCGCTCGGAGACAGGGGGAGAGTCTATGTCATGCCGAGTTATAGAACCTTAAATGGGCAAAGAAGAGGAAGAAAAGATATTAGTCATGCCACTTAAAGCTTTTGTTAACGTATTTCCAGCATTCAAAATGGACAGACCTAAAACTATTAAAAAAACGAAACCCTAACCCTTTCCTCCTACTGTGCACAGGTCTGTCTGTTCCTTCTCTGAACATTGTATGAGTGTTGTGGGACAGGAACATATTTCAGGGTTCAAAAAGGATTTTTTTTAACGTGTTGATTATTTCAATTCACAGGTAACTGGCAACATTGTCATTGTTACTTGTTTGCTCCAATTTCAAAACTGTTAAGTAGAAATTGAGGGCATTCTGTAAGCTATCTGGATTTATTGTACAGCAGTAAATTTGAAATTCTTTAGGTCATCGGGGAAAGGTTATCTGGGTGTGGCTGCTGAAGGAACATCTGTATGTCTACTATGCGACCCCAATTCATCATGGGTCACAGTCACACACACCAGAAAAAATGGGGGGGGGGGGGGAAGCGAGGCTATTTCCTCCGGAGGAATTTGACCCACAGTTGTGAGATCACACAGTCCTTGGAAGCTGCGGGCACAGCCCACCACTGCATGATCAGATGCAACCGCGGGTGAGTCAGGGGTTTTTTTTGCCATTTGTTTCCGATGTGCTTAAACGAGGAATTGATTAATCGCATCTCCGCACTGAGGGCTCCCTATGGAGTTTGCGATGAAGCGCATACTGCGAAGGGGGGAAACCAACAGCATGGCATCGGGATGGCCTGATCAGACCATCCTGATGCCATGAGAGCGCGTTGGAGTGATCAGACACAGGAAAGTTCGTTCGTGGCCCATCGCAACCGGTTTACTACCGGATTTTACTCCGCTTCTGCGGCGGAGCAGAACGGGTTGCCAACGGCTGCAGGGCACTTCCCAGATGTTGTTGTCTGATTGCGCCCTTTTAATCTGCCTGGCATTCATGTCTATGGCGGGTCTAATTGTGCGTATGATCGCGCCCACAAAGGATTCTGTGGGATTCTAGGATGCAATTCACATGTAATCCTATTGCCTTCAGCGAACTAAGGGTACACCTTACACTGTTACAAACTTTCACCTTTAACTGCTCTTTGAATGGAACTGTGTTTCAGGTAACTTCTAAAAATGCAGTTAGAAAACCAGTGCTTTACAGGATCAAAGTAAATGTAATTTTGTAATTTTTAAATGTAAATAGCAACTAGAGTGAGAAGCAAACAGATTCAGGTTGTGGTGAAGAGAGAGGGTTTTCCTGGCCTCAGCCATATGCTCCTCCTCACCCTGAGCCAATATTTTTTCATGGTGAGAAGGTACATCTCCCCCTTTGGGAGAAAGAGCAGTTTGGAACATGGGGACTGAGGCTGGCAAAATGGTGTGGCGGGAAAGATCTGAACACCTTCCTCCCAAATGACCTTCTTCAAGGATCATACTGAACCTGAAACAAGAGGGGATATTGGTGTACGTGTACAGATCTCCCAGTTTCACAGCAGTTTGGTTTATAGCGATACAGTGGTGTTAGTCCTGACCTGGATGGCCCAGGATTAGGGTTGCCAAGTCCATCTTCCACCCACAGCGGGGGACTTTGGGGGCGTTCCTGGAGGGTGCGGGGCATCCCCGACATGATGATGTCACGTTGGGGACGTCTGCCGCCGCCCCCCCCCCGCCCGTGCGCCAGATCTCCAGAAACTGCAGTTCCCTGGACTTAAAGTAGCTGGCGTTTCCCTTTTCAATGCAGGAGCCGGCGTTTCCCCTTTAAGAGCAGCCGCGTTTCCCTTTTAAGACCGAAGCTGGCATTTCCCTGCAAGCTTGCGGTAGTCGCGCTTGGGAGGAAACACGGGTTGCATGGGAGAGAGATGGGTGGCTGTGGGTGTTGGGGGTGGGGCTTCCCCCGCCGGCCATTTGGCCGGCGACGGGTAGAACCTCCCCAAAAACGGGGGACCCCTGGCAAACTGGGGGGGTTGGCAACCCTACCCAGGCTAGCCTGATCTCATCATTTCGCAGGAGCTAAGCAGAGTTGGCCCTGTTAGTACTTGAATGGGAGACTACCAAGGAAGTCCAGGGTAGCCACGGCAAACCACCTCTGCCTTGAAAATCCTACAGGGTCACCATCAGTCGGCTGCAACTTGATGGCACTTTCCACCACCAATACACACACCAATACACACACCAATAATTATGGAAACCAAAAAGATCAACTTACCTTGAATTGCTGAGCCCCAAGCAAATAAATAGTACCAGCTCAGATGAAGATCTACAATAGTTTCATCCCTGGGAACCTTCACAGGACGCTTGAAACGGCACGTTACACGGTTGTTTTCAAAAATACCTTCTTCGTCTCTGGCAGGATTTCTTTCGATCTCTTTTGCCCACTGACCTACATTATAGAAGTGGTGTATCCGGACTCTTCCATTGTCATCGTGCACACAGGCCATGACGTCATCTCCACCCTAAATGATATTACTGAGTCAGGACTCCACCATGACAGTACTTGAGAAAACAAGCGTTTTCTCCACACCCACAAATAGATAGGGATGGGCACGAGCTGAACCGTAAAGCAAAATCCATCATGAAGTTTAAAGGGGCTGCACAAGAAAGTGGGGGGGGGAACCCAGATGAGAAGCCGCTCAGCTGTTTTTCGCGCTTTCTGCAAACCTTGTTTAAAGGGACTACCGTCCCTTTCAACAGGGGTTGCAGGGCCACAAACCCGGAACCCATTCAGTTCGCAAACAAACCTCCTGGTTTGGTTTGCTGTTCAGCTACAAACCACATTTTTCTGGTTCACGCCCATCCCTACACATAGTTATTAGGCTAATCAAAGTGAACACGTCTCTTTTATTTAATTTTACTTATTTACTTCATCTATACCCCACCATTCTCCCCAATCGGGACCCTAAGTGGCTTACATAATTCTCTTCTCTGCCATATTCTGCTCACAACAAGCCTGTGAGGTAGGTTAAGCTGAGAGTGTGTCACCCAGTGAGCTTCCACAGCATTCAAACCTGGTTCTCCCAGATCCTAGTCCAACACTCTTAACCACTACACCACACTGGCTCTTTTACTTCTTAGAAGACTGTCCCATGTATATTCTACATTAGTTCCCCCTTTGTGTTGGCATGGATAAAGTATTATTTTTCACCTTGAACTATGAATTTTATCCATATAAACAAATAATCAGAGGTTGTAGAGAGGGGGTTGGAGCAGCCCATCACTGTCCATGGCTTAACCATGTGGTATTATCCCCCTGTTTGTGTCCTGCATGCTGCTATAATCCTGCTATGTATGTGGGTCCTTGAGATAATAAAATGTAAGGCTGGAAACAGAGGCACTTCAGACTTTTCTCCACGTGTGGTTTTGTCCAGGTGGCGTCTCTAGGAGCCAGACCAGACACGATAGGGCAGCCATATTAGTTATTCACATGTCTGCCCTGTTATGTAGAAAGCAGGGGAAGTAGTCTATTTTTTAAGAAGAAGAAGAGATTGGATTTATACATCACCCTTCACTACCCAAAGGAGTCTCAGAGCAGTTTACAATCCCCTCCCCCTCCCTGCAACAAACACCCTGCAAGGTAGGTGGGGCTGAGAGAGCTCTCTCAAAAACTGCTCATGAGAGAACAGCTCTGAGAAAACCTGTGACTGACCCAAGGTTACACCAGCAGCTGCATGTGGAGGAGTGGGGAATCAAACCTGGTTCTTCAAGATTAGAGTCCGCACTCCTAAGCACTGTACCAGGTCCGAATCCCTCTGCCGTGGATGTTTGCTTGACAGCCTTTGGTCAGTCACACATTTTCAAGCTAACCTACCTCATGGGACTACTGTGAAGATCAAATGGTATGATAAGCCTGTTAGCCGAATTGCTTTATTTACAGCAATTGGCAATTTATAAATGGGTTCTTGCCAACTATACCAAGGTCCCATTCCCACCAAGGGTTACCAGTAAAAGATTTTGAGGCTGTTGTGGTTAAAACAGATGTCTTTTACTTAAGAAAATAAATCTCATACAAACAATACTGATGCACTCACACATTCAATCAAGTTCCTTAGAAAGACAGTATTAAAATAAGCACGGTTGCATTAGCAGGTGGGGGTGATGATGGGTGATACTTATCTGTCTTCGCAGCTTGGTTGCTCCAATGAAGAATAGAAGGGAAGAAATAGAAATCTAGGGAGAATTCACACACGACCAGAACCAGTCAGAACGTGTGGGCAGTGGAGGCAAGGTTTGGGGATAGCAAGTGGGACTTAAGAGAAGTAAAAAGCAGACAGGGGTTGTTGTGGGGGAGATGCTAGTTGATCAAGTAGGAGAGAGAGAGAGAGAGAACACCTTTTCTTTTCTTTTCTTTTCTCGGTTCTCTTGTTTTTGGTTCTCTTCTTTTATCGGGGGATCCAGGAGGTGGGTGGTGGCCGTGCCAACCTCCTGGCCCACCTACCTGTAAGTCCGACCCAAAAACAATCCTATTGGTTGCATGGAGGGAGGGGTGGTTACCTAACAGGAGTGGCCAATATTGAAATCTAAAACCTTACTCAAGGAATGGCATCTTTGGCAGGTGTGAAAACCTTGGTGTCATGATACTTCATTGAAGTGTAGATAAAGCTGGCCATTCTATTGTAAACTAAATGTCCATTTGGCAGGAAATACCAAAGCAGGAACAAAGCAGTGATGTGTCGTTGTTGTTGTTGTTCAGTCGCACAGTCGAGTCCGACTCTTCGCGACCCCATGGACGAGCTCTCTCCAGGCCTTCCGGTCTTCTGCCGTCCTCTGAAGTTGGCTCAACTTCATGTTCGTTGCATCGATGACACTGTCTAACCATCTCATCCTTTGCCATCCCCGTCTTCTTTGACCTTCAATCTTTCCAAGCATCAGGGTCTTCTCCAGTGAGTGCTCCCTTCTCATTTGGTGGCCAAAGTATTTGAGCTTCAGTTTCATTATCTGGCCTTCCAGGGAACAGTCAGGGTTGATTTCTTTGAGGATTGACTGATTTGTTCTTCTTGCAGTCCAAGGGACTCTCAAGAGTCTCCTCCAGCACCATAGTTCAAAAGAATCTATTCTTCGGCGCTCGGCCTTCCTTATAGTCCAGCTCTCGCAGCCATACATGACTACTGGGAATACCATTGCTTTGACCATGCGGACTTTTGTTGGCAGGGTGATGTCTCTACTTTTTATCATGCTGTTTAGGTTCGCCATCGCTTTCCTCCCAAGGAGCAGGCGTCTTTTAATTTCATGGCTGCAGTCACAGTCTGCGGTGATCTGGGATCCCAGGAACGTGAAGTCTGTCACTACTTCCACAGCTTCCCCTTCTATTTGCCAAGGAGTGATGGGGCCGGATGCCATGATCTTAGTTTTTTTGAT